TCCTCTCACAGACAGTTCAAAACTAATAGTTATATAATATAAATAAAATAAAGTACTTCAAAAGCTACAATAACAGAATAAGTAACTTTTTTGGCATAATCAAATACTAAAGATTCAGCACCAACCTAAAAAAAGATGATATTATAAAAGCAACACTCAGGAGAAAATATATGATACTTGCACCTTTAGAAGAGTGTCTATGATATAAGGGTGCAAAGGGAGCACCTATGAAATTTTACCTTAATAAAAGAGCAAATGTGTCTTGTTTAATGTGCTTTAGCATGCATTAAATACAAGATCAAAAAACTCAGAAAAGGCTCAAGAATGAAGCTTACAATGCTCAGTGTTTGGGGTACACAAAAAATGACCTCAATGGATGCATGATTTACTATATACTGTACAGCATCTGGTCCTGCAAAAAATGTTAGTGCCTTCTATTATTAACAAGCAAAATAATATGAAAACAACCTTTTTAAAATTAAGAAAACAACCTTACCAACTAGTGAATTAGAGCATACCTAAAGTGTCATATAGAGGCACAGATATGTAAGAGTATGCTGAGCAGGCATGGTCCACAATGATCCACTCTGGTCTATTTATAAAATAGAGTCCAACACATGCAGCCTGCAACAAGTAGCATATTAAAGTATTTATTTCAAAGGACAGAAAAGGAGAGAGATTAATTAGTTATTATATTGAAATTTATTTAATGGTTTGGCATGGATACAGCTACCAGTCAATCAACTTATGATGCGAGAGTGGTACCTGGTAGTGAATGGATTATAACAACAAATTACTCCCAGTCATTCAAGTTATCTATTTGGAATCTTTGCAAATCATCTAGCTACCCTCAGAACTCACAAGGGACCATGTTTTCCTCATAATGATTCCAAGAAAGTGTTCTTTAGTTTCCCTTTGCATCTCGCAGGACCTCTCATATGAAGTGACTCACCTTTTCCTAACTGATGCATCCAAAACTTGAGTAGAAGATACTCATAATCAAGGTTTAAAATTTCATTGTGAATGCATAGATTACTTGAGTAGAAGATAATCATAATAAAGGCCGAAAATTTCATTTTGGTTCTGATGCTAGAACATGGTTGGACTGGTCCGCGACCAATGCAAACAAATAACAATGCAATTCCTAAAAACCTAAAAGAATACACATGGGCATTGTGCCACAGTACCAGCATATCAGCACCTGATTGAACTAGTGTGATATCATTAATACTTCGGGAAGTTCCAAAATGCAGGATACCCGAATCTAATTAACTTACTCTGCGTATTCCGTGATATACAAGGCCAGATCCTATTGCTGACCTGGAGGTACCAGCTTCACCATAGGTCATCCATTTGTACCTATAACATGTAAGATTACGCAACATCAGATATCAAAAAATCCATAGAAAATGACATAATAAGCATCCCAGAGGCCAAAATATTAGAAAAGCCTTACTCTCCAACCGTTCCATCCACACGAATCCTTGTTCCCAAGTATCTGTAATCTCGAAAAGTCTCGACAGCATGTCTAATCATTGTCCACAGTAAAAATGATTTCACAAAAATAGTAAGCATGTATAAACGAGGATGAAAGAGCATTCAATAAAGCATACATATAAACGATAATATTTGGACAAGAAATAAATGATCCTAATGTAATACATAAAGAACACAAATTTTGAGGATTATTTTGGTACATCTGGTATGATAATTAGCAAAGTACATAGCATTTTTGTTTTTTCAAAAAGCTCGAGTATATCTTAGTGAAAAAAGGAATATTGGAGATACTGACTCAAAATTGTCATGCAGTGTTCCAATATCAGGATGCTGTGGATATCTAGAGACTAGCTTCAGTGGTGATTGTGCAGATCTGCCAGGATAAGATAAATATTAGATGAACCATGGAATGATCAATGATACCAATATAAATTCTACCTGTACACATTCCATTTCCCAGTTTGCAACTTCTCAGGAAGAACAACACTGTAGCCCTGTGCTGCATGATGTGAAAACTTAAGATCCACTCTTTATTAAGAAATATATACTTAAACATGAGAAACTAATCGACAAAAAAAGAGAAACTAGCAATTCTGGGTCTATCAAAGAAGAGATGTCATAAGTGTTGTAGTAGATGATGTCTTGGAATAGTCAAACAAAATAAAGAAATAAAAACATTGTCTTCTGGACATACAATTGAATTGCAAACTAAACCATGTGTAAGCAAAAGACAAATAAGAAATACCTAATAAATCTAGTGAAGGAGTTCTTCTAGGGAGAATATTCTTTTTGTCCTTGTCATGTTGCCATGCTTTTGGATAGATGGCTCGAATTTAATTGAATATGAAAAAAGCACATATGTCATTACCATAAAACTGTAATCATAGATGATACAGACACATCAAAATGGCATTGCATGGATCTTTGAAAATTGCAAATAATTCTCTTTTAACATGAAAGTACTATGTTTGTGACCAAAAACTGAGTTGAAAAAGGCAAAAGAAAAATTACATAATATGAGGATCTAATGCTGACTTAAGTAAATCAGATGATATGATCCAAGTAAATCAGATAATTTAAGTAAATCAGAAGTTCAATTTTAGGGTACAAATCAGTGGACAGTGGAAGGATGAGCCTCACGATGAGAGAATAGATAAGCCCTTAAGTTATATAGACAGCAAATGGATCGTGGAGAGAATAGATAAGCCCTTAAGGTATATAGACAGAGAATGGATCGAGTAAAATGCTTCCATAATGAACAATCGTGGATGCCTTGGATTAAAAATTCACAAAATAAAACCCCTGACTGCACGAGAAATATAAGATACACCCTGTCGGACGGATCCTGCTTGATGATGTGGGAATTAGCGAGACTGATCTCCCACCCCAACGAACGATTTCAATGCAACGCAATTCAAGATAATAGCACGTGATGCACCAAATACTCAGAGGCAATCTGGAATGCCTATGAATCACGAACCAAATTTCGTGACATCAAATAACTGTAGCATATACGAACAGAACAAATAAAAATCCCCACTTTGTATTATCCACCTAGAATATACTCAAAAAGGCAGCGCCGAGCAGAGATTCGACGATGTGGAAGGATTTAGTGATCACTTGTTAGCAGTTTTATTCGACAAAGCCCCTTTTCCATCCCTTCACGATCCGATCATACATCGACAGAACCATCCAATCCAACGACGGAGAAGAAAGGGAGGTAAAGAATAAGAAGAACCCATTCCGATTCAATGGGTTTCCCAAACAAGGAACGCAAGAAAAGCCGAAAAAGACGAGTACCGAGCGCGAACTCGCCGGCGGTTGGATTGGCGATGAGACGAGCGTTCGGATCGCGGTCGCTGGAGGCGAGGAGATGGCCAGCGATGGCTCGGAGACGGCGTTGGGGAGCGGAATCCATCTCCAGGTTTGTTCGTCTTTGCCCTTCCTCTCTTCCTCTCACGACTCGATCTCGGGACACATTAAAATAACGATGGAATGCAATACAGCGCCGGAGATATTTTATTATTTAGATAGGACGGCTTCTCTTGCGTAGACGTCTAGTATTCGTGTCACCATCATCCGCACGCCATATCCGAACACTTTCCATGACGGCCTTTCTTCGGCAGGTTTCCTCACTTTTTACCATATCTTGCTGCAGCAAGTGTTTCCACCGGGACAACATGCTTGGAATTAGATCTGTGGTTTTTTATTTTAAATAAAGTTGATTAGTTTCAGAATCTAAAAATTTCTTTATGAAAGTATTTATTAAATATTTTATTTAAAAAATTATTCTTCAAATTAAGAATATTATTTTTAAATATTATTTTACCTAAAAAAACCCTTACTGTTGGGTTTTAATCGAATATTTTGTTCTAATTGATTTTTAACCTCCTTTTTTTTTTTTTTTGCCACATTAATGAAAATATCTTTTCATTCTCCATTAGTGATCTATCACGAACGACATCATTGGTCACCTCTATTTGCCTCCATGCCTTGCTCCCATGCAAGTAATATCACTAATTACCTCATTTCTCTTATCCTTCTTTCCTTTTTCTCATCTCCTGTAGCCCCCCTATGCTTCCATCTTGAAGAATAACCCAAAGAACCAATTGTGTATCATTATCATCGGCACAATCAACCATCGGTTGATCGTGAGAATATTACATGTGCCCTCATTTAGCTCAGCTACTTCAATGTTTTTTATGCCATCATCAATCACCTTAGTTTCATCCATTGTCTATGGTCCTTCTCCAATCCAACAAATCACATATGAAGAAGGATATTGTTATTATGCTTTTTACCTTATTTGTCTCCCGAAAAGGTGGTAACGAGTGACACCACTCAAAATAAGAATGAAGGGTGGAGGAAATGGGGCAAGCTGACACTATATAGAGAGAAAGAAGAGGGGAATAAGAGGAGAAAGGGGAAGGGAGGAGAGGACGTATAGTATAACTAATGGTGAGAGCAAGGGGCCAAAGTGATGCCACTAAAGATAGATAGCTGATGAAGGACGAAGGATAATTTTCGTTAAAATGATTAAAATTGGACACCCCAAGTAAAAACAAATTAGGAGAGTGTAATTGGGCAAAAGTCCAATAGTATTTCTTTTTGGATAAAATATTTTTATTTTTAGAAAAAAAAAC